AGATCGTGTCGTGCATAGAAAATACGTGTCCTAATGGTATGTTTGATACGTTGTCTCATGATAAAAAATAATAATAAAAAGAAGTTAAAGTTTTATTTGTTGTCATGTCCATTATTGCATATCTAACATATCCTAGGTACTTTAAATGGACTCTAAGTTCGCCTCGATACAAGTTCCTTCAAAATTAGCTTAAAAGTTAAGACTAGTTTAAGTAGTTTCAAGTTCATTTAATCACAGCAGACTAGTAGCAAGTATAATATAGAGAAGTACATAGAAAAAAAAAGTGTTTTTCGCCACATTCTAATAATTAATATAGACGCGAAGGTGAAGTCACTTTAACTAATCTAATGCTGAAATATTAATAATTTGATAATAAGCATTAGATTTACTACAATCATAAATGAATTAATTAGATTGCATTCACTATTGATATTCTTAAATTGCAACAATTTGGACCATCCACCTATTCAAACACACATGGGCTCTTGCCTATATATATTTATCATTTAGCACTGTTCAAGTTGAGTAGCTACAAATTAAGCAGCATTTATCATTACCTTCGAAATTGTTTATATTTCTAATTCTCTGTTAAAAAAAAAATGGATCCAATCCCAGTTTCTGCTATCAAAATAGGCCACATTGATGATGTTCAAGAATTGAGAAAGAGTAAATCATCACATATTCCTGAAAGATTTATCCGCGACACAACTGAACGGCCTAAATTGGACAAAGATATTGTGTCTTTGACCAACAATATTCCAGTTATTGATTTGTCAAAATTCTTTAAAGGCAATAAGGATAAATTCTTGAATGAGATCTCGAAGCTGACAGTTTCTTGTCAAGAATGGGGCTTCTTTCAGGTATTAGACTTAATTGATCGCGTACTTTTTCTTTACTTCTGATTGATTTTTACCGTCGATTGCTCCGAGCACCCTGTATAGCATTTTACCTGTGGTGTCAGTCCATAGTTGGGACGGTTCTGACTAAGAAGATGACTCTAATGGCAGGTCATAAACCATGGGATTGATTTGGAGTTGCTAGAGAGTATAGAGAAGGTGGCTCTCGAGTTTTTCTCGTTGCCTTTAGAGGATAAACAAAAGTATCATATGATTCCAGGGACTGTACAAGGATATGGTCAGGCTTTTGTTTTCTCAGAAGACCAGAAGCTGGATTGGTGCAACATGTTTGCTCTTGGTTTGGAGCCTCACTACCTTAGGAACCCAAAATTATGGCCAACTAAGCCATCAAATTTCAGGTAATTGTGCTAAAAACTTTCCCTCCTTAATGTGCACTTGTTTTAGGGGCAGCGACGGTTGAACAAAGTAATAAATTAAATCATTTTTTTTTAAATTTGGGAGCAGCAATATATATTAGGTATAATCACTCCATTCGGTTCATTCTACTGAAAGATCCAAAGGGTTTGATATACGCCTCTCCTAATGTGTTCAATTGAGATCACATAAACATTACTTTTATGAACAGAAACCTAAACTCAATCTATGAAAACATATTCCACTACCAAACTCTTACGTTCTTTATTTGAATAAAGCTAGTGTGCCAGATGAATTTTGCCCACGTAGGTGACTGACTCTCACATTTGCATGGGACCGGTGCTGACCTCATATGAATAAAAAATGTAAAAAATGGCACCCCACCCACTGTAACTATGAGTGTTGGTCAGTTTGGGTATCAAAATAATTCTGGCATCCCAGCATGATTGTCTTTATTTTAAGATTTATTGACCCCACCTCTACATATTGACATATATGATTTTACAGTGGAACTGTGGAGGAATACTCGAGAGAGATTCGAAAACTGTGCAAGAATTTGCTGAAGTACATATCGATCAGTCTCGACCTTAACGATGACGTTTTTGAGGAAATGTTTGGTGTGGCTGTGCAAGCAGTGAGAATGAACTACTATCCGGCATGCCCTAGACCAGACCTTGTTTTGGGCTTAAGTCCTCATTCTGATGGAAGTGCCCTTACTGTTTTACAACAAGGAAAGGGAAATTCAGTTGGCCTTCAAATCTTAAAAGACAATTCTTGGATCCCAGTTCAGCCTATTTCTAACGCTCTAGTTATCAATATTGGTGACACCGTTGAGGTATTAGATCTTTTAAATACTTTCTTTATTTTTGCAGGAAAATTGTACCATCGGTTTAAATTTAGCTCTAACCTTTAAAAAGGATCAAGTAAGTCATTATTAATAGTCGTATAAATTCTCCAATCATGAAAAACGTCCAAATCTCGTTAAAACTTCA